AATCAAAATCGATTTTATGATTTTTTTTGTCCTTGTGGTTTTTGATTGGGTAAACCATTAAAAAATCGATAAAAGAACAAAAATGCCTCTCATTTGATGGAATTTTTAACAACCATAAGTGGGATTGATCAAATCCAGACGTTTTTACAAACCATGATGGTACTTTTGTAATTTTAGAACTAGAGGGACGAAAAATGTTATTTTTGACAACCAAAAGGACCAAATTTTTAGTTTACTCTGATAAATATTTTCATTTTAAGCTATAGGATTAGAGTGAAATTCAATTTTGGTCCCTAAGGTTTAGTGAAATCTTTAAAAGTGGGATCTGAACTTCAATAAATCAAGTTTTCACCCTCCAGTCTAGTCCATGTATTGCTTTTGTTCTGAAAGTGGGACTTGACCACTAAAGCCGTTAAAAATCTTCATCAGAACCAGGGGTAAAATCGTCCAGCCATGTTCTCCCTCTCTTTTTGCACTACGTAATTAACCATATATATATATAGAGAGAGAGAGATGAGATCATTTGTTAACTAAGATTTTAGTGTTAATTATATAAACTTAATGGACTAATATGAATCATTCTTTGATATAGTTTACATTCAAGATTGGTTTATAGGATAAGTGGCAAACAGGTAATTTGCATTAAGGTGTAAGTTAGGGGCCGTTTACTAAACACTTACTTGGTAAGTACTTACCGGATAAAATTTCTGATCGGATGAACATGAGAACGGTCAAGAATCTTACCGGGTAAGAGCGATGAGAGTGATGGAGAATCTTACCCGGTAAGTGAAGATGACGACTCTTACCCAGGTAAGCGTTTACCCACTAAATTGTTGCATTTAATATGTTTTAATATACTAAAATCTTACGCATCAAAATAAATCATAATGTTACTCCTATCGGTAAGCGCTTACTGGGTAAGCAATTGGGTAAACGACCCCTTACTTTTTTTCTTATTCAATGAGATGTTATAATTTAATACTTCCTTAATTTATATAGATCTTGATTAAGTCACCATATTTCAAGATTCTTAATTAGTCCATTGATTTCAGCCATTTTAATGCTATCATTGATTTTCCAGTTTTTGGGCCATGTTTGTTCATAGACGAAGAATCATGGAAAATCAACATGAACACTTGTATGTTTCTCTGTTACGTCTCCACATGATGTTTCTGAAAAATGATAATTAATGAAAACGATCTCACAAAAAATTAATTGAAATTATTATGTTTAGTGAAAACTATTGTGTTCATCAGTGAACATATATGGCATAGGAATTATATGTTCGCAGGTGAACATTTTCATTGATATTGTTCATGAGTGAAACTCATTTTGTTCACAGTGATAAAAACCATATTAATGAAGGTGTTCAGTAATGAAGTTACAGTGGTGAATCATTTCATTTAAGACATGTTCGGTAGTAGTCATATTTAATAGTTTTATTTATTAGATTTTCGGTTGCAAAACCCTAAAGGGAAAATTATTGGGTCTAAAATTTGGGTTTAATAGATTATATCTCATTTTTCCAATAATACCATTGTTCGCTTAGTTCACACCGGCATAGAACGCATATGTTTCCATCTTATTATAAGAATGTCATTGTCGATTTTGAATCGTAGATCATAAAAATTGGAAGGTAGGATTGATTCACAAAGTTAATACCAATTATTGAGGGTTAATAAAAGAACCAACCCCTATGTATGTATGTATGTATGTATGTATGTATGTATGTATGTATGTATGTATGTATGTATGTATGTACGTACGTATGTATATGATTAAGTTCCGGTGAGAAAAGAGAGTTAAGATGAGAATTGCAAGAAGATATCTCCACCCTTGGATGCACATTCGTGCCGTAAGGTGTTAGGTTAAGTCCCGCAACGATATGCGATGCATCAAGATGCATCATATCAATCCCGTCATCAAGCACGATTTATGGGTGAGTTGAGATTAAAAGTGATCAAGGGTCTTAATCCCTTATTACGCTTTTCATTTTAACTTTACTTCTCACACAATCATTCGCATATATATAGCCAAAGTTTATTTTGAAAAGTAAAGAAATAATCCTAGCCCTTCATACAGGTAAGAGCGGATTTATCTGGTCAATAATTACGACTTTGATTGATCAAGAATTGTTGATGTGCGGAAAATAGAAGGAATAGTTTCATAATTTTTTCAAATATGCGGCCGGGTTCATATGTGAATTTATGTGATTTATATATGAATTATATGTTCATATGTGAACCCGTATAATTCACATGCGAACTATAAATTATATATACATATATGAACCTGTTTGATTCATACATTAACTAATTAATTAATTCACATATGAATCCTTGTTATTCACATATGAACTAATGAACTAATTTACATATGAACCCGTATGATTCACATGTGAACTAATTAACTGATTCACATATGAACCCGTTTGATGTCTATTTGTAAAAGTTACAGAACTATCCCTCTATATTCCGCATACCCATGCTAGGAATCATATATATATATATATATATATATATATATATATATATATATATATATATATATATATAGTCAAATGTTATTTTGAGAAGTTGGTAAATATTTGAGAAGTAAAGAAGTAATCCTAACCATTCATAGGGTCAGGATCGGATTTGATTGGTCAATAATTACGGCTTTGAATGGTCAAAAATTACGGCAATGCGAAAAATAGAGAGGATAATTTAGTAACTTTTTACAAATATGCTACAAACGGGTTCATATATGAACCTATGTGATTCACATATGGACTATATGTTCATATATGTGAACTCGTGTAATTCACATATGAACTACTTTAACTGATTCATATATGAATTAATGTGATTCATATATGGACTAATTAACTAATTCACATACGAACCCTTATGATTCATATATGAACTAATTAACTGATTCACATATGAACTTATTAATGGGTTCACATATGAACCCGTTGATTAACAATTCTAATGGATGAGATTGATTAATAAAGTTTTCACTAAATGTTTGATCATCAAATGAAGGGGCCTCTCTCTATATAGATATAATATTATAGTTAATTACGTAATTGGTCACTATACATTGATTTTTTTACAAAAATAAAAGAAACAAGAAAAAAAATGCAAAGAAATGGAAAACATGGTTGCACGATTTTACCCTTGGCTCTAACGAAGATTTTTAACGGCGTCAAGCGTGCGTTTGGTGCACTGGACATGACATGACAGAACATGACAGAGATCCGTGTCCCATGTTTGACATGAATTTTATATGGAACAGACAAAAACAAAGTGGAACAAGCCTGTTCCACCCCTACCCCATGGAACAGGGTGGAAAAAAATGGAACAGACTTATATTTTATCAATATAACCTCAAAATAAAACTTAATTCTCTTCTAAAACATCAAATAAGTCTTTTTTTGCATTTTATTTATTCTTTAAATTTTATTTATTGTATTTTATGTTTCTTAAACTTTTATTTTATTGTCTTCAAAATATTATTTTTATACGGTTTCTATATTTTTATTAATTTATGTAATTTATTATATATTAATAATAAAAAATAATGTAGAAAAGAGAGGGTGAGGAGCGTCGCGAGTATGGGAAAGACGGGGGAGGAGGAACGATGAGGGAGGGGGAGGAGCGATAGGGAGATGAGCGTGAAAACCTAATCGTGTAAAGGGGGCAAGCATGGAAAAGATAAATCTGACCCGGGTAAGCATTGTTTTCATGCTGTCTCGGTAAGTCCTCGGTCAGAGTTTCGGTCAGTTTTCGGTCAGAATGGTAAATCAGTAAACAAGCTGACTGCTGACCGAGTCAGCATTGCTGACCGGTCAACACCTAGTAAACAGCCCCTAAAACTACATAAACTTTTTATTTGATGTCATTTTAATTGTTTTGGCGAAAACTTCAAATGATATATTTTGTTATAAAAAATATATATTATATTATAATTTAATAAATTACATAAATTAATTAAAAAAACAACTCATCAAAGGTAAATTGATCATTTTACTTGTTCCGTTGTGTCTAGTTTTAGGTCCACTTTCAAAGATGGCTAAACCTCAGGGACCAAAATTGAAGTTTACTCATAGATTAAAAAGAAATTAAAATTCATACAACATAAATACATAATTACAGTAATCTGAATTTTTAAAGGTCAATTAATTAACCCAAGTCGACTGCACCTTTGTTCCCAAAAAGTGAAAAACCCTAACCACCCCTTCTCAATAATACACACGCTTTCACTGTCCCTTGCTCTTTCTTCACTCCCAAATATGCTCTCATTACCAAATTTCCCCACTTTTTGATTCACATTTACTTTGATTTTTACTCCATTTTCATCATTCTGTCTATCCACAGTAATGTAGCTGTTCTTTTCACTTGTTTCATGTTTCTGAAACAAATCCAATCGACTTTGCTACTTACCCACTTACTGTAGATCGATATAATCATTGTATTGGGGGCTCTGATTTGATTCTTTCCTTGGATCAATGTGAGTAAAGATATCCACTTTTTGGGTTCGATCTTTTCTGGGTATTTATCAACTGTTGATTCAAGAAGTGTAGTTCACAAAAATCGTTGTTTTTGATTCCTTTCTTGTGCACATTGATGTTTAATTTGTGTTTTTTTTGGCATATAAAACCCAGGGATCGGATGTAATTCAAAAGGGGTGCTGCAGACTGAGTAAAAAAAACTGGTATGAATCGAATCTCATCTTATCTCTTTCTTGAATTTACTGGATTACCTTTTATAAACAAAGGTTAATTCCTTTTAGTTGAAGATTTCGTTATGGGTGGATATGGAGATATGAGTTTATGTCTAATAAACTCAAGATTTGAGCAAAAAGTTTAAGTTTAGAGCTGCAATCTGGTTTATTTGGGTGTAAATTGATCGAAATTAAGTTCAAATCAAGAAAAAGAAAACTGGGATTAATTCAATTTGATTAACAATTTGGTTGTTGGGAACAGGTTTTTCTGGTGACAGTGGATCAGTGAAGAGATGATGATGATGAATGTTGAGCATATTGTTATGATTTTGGTATTATTTGGTTTTTATGTCATTGCAAAATGCGAGGTTTATATAGTAACGATTGAAGGAGATCCGGTGATAAGTTATAGGGGTGGCATTGATGGTTTTGAAGCCACTGCTGTAGAATCTGATCAGAAGCTTGATGTCACCAGGTTATTGTTCTTTGAATCTTCTTTATTTGTTGTTTTTATGATTTACGATTTGATTATCATGGTCAAATTTTGAACTATTTAATTACTATGATTAAGGGGCCGTTTACTGGATGCTTACCAGGTAAGCGCTTAGTGGTTGGTTAGAGACATAGTAAGGACCGACAATCTTACCTAGTAAGTGAGGGAGAAGACTCTTACCGGGTAGAAAACGCTTACCCAACAATCCATTTTGATGGCCGAGAATGTTACCCGATAGGGTAGGTGAGGGTGGTTGACTATTACGAGTAAGCACTTACCTGGTAAGTGTTTGGTAAACGGCTCCTTAGTTTCTTTAAGAGCACTATTACTACTGTCATTGTCTGTTGAAACTTTTGACATAACTCTTAATTGGGTCTTCACTGAAACAACCACTCTGGATAGTGGTGAGGTCTGCTTACATCTCACCCCCTAGACCCTATTTTCGAGTAAGACTTGGGCCATGTTTGGCAGCCATAAACTGGCTTATTTTTTGAGCTTATTGTAAAAGCCCCGTTTGGTCATCCATAAACTAGCTTTTTCAAAAGCTACTTCAAGTAGTGTTTTAATAAGCTCGAGGTTTTCTTTTCTTCCAATTAATTTGTCAATTTGTCCTTTTAGGTTATTTTACATTGTCATCTAGTTTTTACCAAACATGCTGGTATATCAGCTAGCTTATTGGCCAACAACTAGCAGCTAGTTTACCAAGCATGGCCTTTTTGGGTTGGTTTGTTAATTTGTTAGTCAGGGTTTTGCTGACATGACGATGAAACAACCACTCTACTTTTTGGGGTAGAGGTCTAGACCCAACCTCCAAGTGGGACATACTGAGCTTGTTTGATCTGATTACACTGAAATTAATTGCGTTTTTTTTTTCTCTTTTGCATCTTACTCAGTGATTTGGTTATGGCATACTCCGATCACCTTGAAACGAGGCATGATAAGCTTCTTGAAACGCTATTTGAAGATGAAACGTACACGAAATTGTATAGCTACAAGCATCTGATCAATGGTTTCGCCGTCCATCTTTCTCCTGAACAGGTCATAATCCGGACATTTTACCTCTGTTTATGTTATATTTTGAACAAGCCGGACAATACCCATAAAAATGTATAGAAATTTGGTAATTGGGTACTCTTGCAATCCTGTTTTCTTATACATTTATGCGAATATTAGTAGGCAGAAACGCTTAGACGAATCCCTGGTGTGAAGTCGGTGGATCGAGATTGGAAGGTGCGGAAACTTACCACACACACACCACAGTTTTTGGGGCTTCCAACCGGAGTTTGGCCAACTGGTGGCGGATTTGATCGAGCTGGAGAGAACATTGTGATCGGATTTGTGGATTCGGGTATTTTCCCGCACCATCCAAGCTTTCAGAATACCAAAAGCGAACCCTATGAGCCGCTGCCAAGATATAGAGGGAAATGTGAAGTTGATCCCCATACAAAGAGAAGTTTCTGCAATGGAAAGATTGTTGGGGCTCAACATTTTGCAAAAGCTGCTACGGCCGCTGGCGCATTTAATCCTTCGATTGATTTTGCTTCTCCTTTGGATGGTGATGGGCATGGAAGGTTGGTTTTTTTTTTCTGTATTGTTACCAATTTCTCTTTCATCCATGGAAACAACCGTTCTACAATTTGGGGCAGAGGTCACGTTTGCGAACATCTCAACCTTCCCAGAGCCCATCTCCGGAGGGATATACTGGGCTTGTTTTTTTTTGAAGTATATAAAATTTATATACGGCAAATGAACTCATACACCCTCCTCACATTTGGTGAGGTTTGAACCCTTGATCTCCTGAGAGGCTTAGCTCTATTGGTAATCCAGATACCGCTAGGCCAAAGGCCCTTTGGTATACTGCTCTTGTTTGGTTAACTGATTTCTCTTTTTCGAGTGCTAATATCGTTTCACAGTCACACTGCAGCAATTGCGGCCGGAAACAACGGGATTCCTGTGCGTGTGCATGGTTATGAGTATGGAAAAGCAAGCGGAATGGCTCCTCGTGCTAGGTAAGCTTCGTATCCTTTGATCTATCAACATGTCGATATTTTGATCATCATTTTATCGTTCTAATAGAGAGGATTTACACTTCAAACAATCAGTACTCGGTTCTCTGTTGCAAACAGATCACTATTCTTGCATAAATGCAAATAGCAAAATGCAACAAAGTTTGATTTAGTTACTATTTAGTGTATCGAAGTGCAAGAACGATGGTGTATTTGCAACAAATAACCGAGTGCGAAGAGTTAATTACTCATCTAACACGTAGTCAATTTGAATAGGATTGCGGTGTACAAGTCACTATATAGGCTCTTTGGAGGATTCGTTGCCGATGTCGTTGCTGCCATCGAGCAGGTTTGTTTAGGCCCGATGACGAATGACTAATTATTCATCGATTACATTCTTTCTGTAGTTGGCTCCAAATAACGAAACATATCTTCATTTATGTGGTAAACAACCGTTTAGTATGTTTCTGTATGATCATATTGATGCCAACTAATCTGTTAACAGGCGGTTCATGATGGTGTCGACATTCTGAATCTCTCAGTTGGCCCCAACAGTCCTCCAGCTACCACGAGGACCACGTTTTTGAATCCATTTGATGCTGTACTTCTCTCGGCCGTAAGATCCGGAGTTTTTGTTGCACAAGCGGCCGGAAATGGAGGCCCGTTTTCCAAAACTTTAGTGTCGTATAGTCCATGGATTGTATCTGTAGCTGCCGCTGTTGATGATCGGAGATATAAAAACCATTTGACACTCGGAAATGGCAAGATCCTAGCTGGAATCGGCATGTCACGTAAGTTTAAGTCTCTTTAACATTGTTGGTATAATTGGATTTGTAACGATGGGAGTAAATGACAATTCTACCCTTAATAATAGAGGGAGTAATAAATTTCTCGATCTCATAATTAAAAAGTGGAACTGGAAAGTAGGCACTTACTCTTGAAAGTCGACATATATTCCGGGATAAACTAAAACATAAATATGGATCATTATTTTGGGACTGAGGGAGTATATCTGTATCGGCATTCGATACTAGCGCATGCGGATATGGTCATGATCACATCTGATCGATATCCGATCTGCTTGCATCCCTTCTCTGACTCGATAGTAATCGATGCAGCTGCTACGCGGATGAATCAACGCTATACCCTTGTTGCTGCGAATGATGTCTTGTTGGATTCTTCGGGCAAGGCTAGTACTGCGGATTGCCAAAGGCCCGAAGTTCTAAACAAAAATATGGTGAAAGGGAACATACTTCTATGCGGATATTCCTTCAATTTTGTCATCGGAACTGCATCGATTGCAAAGGTCTCCGAAACAGCCAAGAGTCTTGGTGCAATTGGTTTCGTTCTCGCTGTCGAAAACGTCTCTCCGGGAACAAAATTCGATCCTGTGCCATCTGGCATGCCCGGAATTCTGATCACCGATGTTAGCAAGTCAATGGTAATTAACCTTTTTTTTGCAAATTTAAAGAGTGATCGACTATTTAAACCATTACATACGTCTTTTCATCGCAGACGGACCATCATTCTTGTGAAAATGCAAGGCAGAATGATTCAAAATGCAACAAAATTTTGTCTTAGTTCCTATTTAGTGTAAAAATGATTTTTTCTCGATCAATGTAACAAAGTTGATGACGTGGATGTCGAGTTTATAGTCCACTTCTCTGTCACCCTTTTGTAAACGAGTATCCATGTCATCAAATGTTACAAGATCAGTAGGTTACCGGTCAAAATAGGTACAAAATAGCTAATTTCCAAACTTTGTTACATCGGTCAAGAAGAAAAATGATCCGTTACACGAAATGGGAAGTTGCATTTTGGCCCAAAATCCTCTCATTTTGCATTTTGCAAGAAGATGGATGGAAAGACGAATAAGATGGTTCGGTCTGATCGGTCTCGAGTTTAAAGCATCGATTTCATGATTGTGTTTTTTTCCCGATCTTTAGTCAAGTTTTGTGTGTATTTTTATAGGAGCTTATAGACTATTACAATATCTCGACTTCAAGGGATTGGACGGGACGAGTGAAGAGTTTCAAAGCGTTAGGAGCCATTGGAGATGGTTTGGAACCGATCCTCCACAAATCGGCACCGATGGTTGCATTGTTCTCTGCTCGAGGGCCAAACATTAAAGATTACAGCTTTCGAGATGCGGATCTTTTGAAACCTGATATTCTAGCACCCGGTTCTTTGATTTGGGCTTCGTGGTCCCCCAATGGAACCGATGAGGCTAATTACATAGGTAAAAATTTCGGTGTGATTGAATTTTTGAACCATCGGACAAAATGCATAAAAAATGCAACAAAGATTGGTTTAGTTTCTATTTAGTGTAACAAATTATTTTTTTCTCAATCGATGTAACGAAATTTCAAATTTTGCTATTTTGTACCTATTTCGAGCAGGAGAACACTTTGCTATGATCTCTGGAACCAGCATGGCTGCACCACATATAGCCGGGATCGCAGCTCTTGTGAAGCAGAAGCACCCTCACTGGAGCCCGGCTGCCATCAAATCGGCCTTGATGACAACATCAAATACGCTCGATAGAGCCGCGAGACCGATTCTAGCCCAACAATATTCGGGTTCTGAAACAATGACATTTGTCAAGGCCACACCGTTTGATTACGGCAGCGGCCATGTCAACCCCCGAGCTGCTTTGGACCCTGGCCTTATTTTCGATGCAGGTTTGTGCTTTTTTTGAACAACTTAAGTGCTATGAACAAGCATCCAATCATCATACTAAGGGGTTGTTTGTTTACCTCTTAATAGTTTCATTAAGAGACAATTTCTGAATCGTTAAGAGGTGAATCTTGTTTGGCAAAAAAAAAAAGTTCTGCCTCTTAATGGTTCTAAAATCCTCTTAATGATTTTGTATTCTAGACCTCCCTTAACCATTCAGCACCCTAATTCCAGTGTAAACAATTACTGAACAATCTATTTCGTTTTGCACTGTATCATGAGAGCCTCTTAATCATTCTGTACCAGATCATTCACCAACTGCCAAACAGCCCCTTAAGCTAACTTATTTTTTCAACTTGTTGAAAAAGATCCGTTTGGTTATCCATAAGCTAGCTTTTTGAAAAGTTGATTCAAATAGCGTTTCAATAAGCTCCAAGGGCTTTTTCCACTTTTTTTGCAATTACACCCCCCTTATATTTTCTAATTAATTTTTGTCATTTTTACATTGTTATCCTACTTATCGACTAGTTTTTACCAAATATGACTAGTTATTAGCTGACAGTTAGCTTATTAGCCGACGGCTAGCTTTTCAGCTAGTTTGCTAAACATGGTCTAAACAAACTTCGGTTTGCAGAATTGAGCGGTATTTAACAACTTATTACAACACCTCTAGATAGGAAGTGAGTTTTTGGTTCTATAAACTTAAAGTCCCCATTAAAAAACCTTTGTTGTGATTTCATGTTGAAATGTCTGGTTTCTTGATGTTTTCTTGAAGGTTATGAAGATTATCTAGGGTTCTTGTGCACCACACCCGGGCTCGACTCACACGAAATCCGAAACTACACCCACCAGCCATGCAACTACACGCTCGGCCATCCGTACAATCTAAACTCACCCTCAATCACCGTTTCCCATCTCGTAAGAACTCAAACCGTCACACGAACCGTAACAAACGTCAACGAAGAAGAGACGTACAAGATCACGGCTAGAATGGCACCAACAATAGCCATTGCAACGAGCCCACGAGCCATGACTTTGAAACCAGGTGCATCACATAAGTTCTCTGTCACCCTAACCGTACGAACCGTCACAGGAACCTACGGTTTCGGTGAGGTTTTGTTGAAAGGAAGCCGAGGGCATAAGGTACGGATCCCGGTTGTAGCCATGGGTTACGATCGGTAATTTGTGGTGGTTGTCGGAAAGCTCGTATGCTGTTTATTCTTTGTAAAAGTGTTCAATAATAAGACGTAGAAAAAGGTAGGTGTAAAGAGAATGTAGCGTCTCTTGCGTTACTATTAAGTTTTGCTGGTGCCACGGCCACTTCCCGACGTTACAGTTCGAATGCTGCTTCGATTGTACCATATGCTTCTTCAATTGTACGTTATCGGAGGCGAAACCAAAACCAAAACCGTGCATTTTGGTATGAAGTTGTATCTTTTGGTTCCCAGAAATGAAGTCGATCTGGTGATACGATCTAGGGACGTAAACAAGTTGAATCGGTACCGAGCTCAATGAGACCGAGTATTGCTTGAATTTGAGTCGTGTCGGCAAGTTTTTGAGGTGAGCTTGAGTGGCTCGGCTCGATTGAGTTTCGTTTTGAAATCGTTGTGCGGAGTTATAACGGTTGAATTTAGAGTAGTAATGTTGTAATGATTTGTATTTCATGTAGTAGAATTTATATATATTCTTCGTATTTTTCTTGTAATTGTGGGCTTTCGGGCCAGCTTGCTCTCACCTCGATTAATTTCTATGGCATGGAGTTAACACTCGTTTTTAAGCATGATTCGAATTAGTTAAGCATAGTATTAATTAACACCCATGGTTTTAAAAAGACCCATAATTATCTGTTGTTTAATATTAAGGGGCTGTTTACTAAACACTTGCTTGGTAAGTGTTTATCGGATAAATTTTCTTATCGTATGAACATGAGAAGGGTCAAGAATCTTACCGAGTTAGAGGGATGAGAATGATGGAGAGTCTTATCCGATAAGTGAGGATGACGACACACTACCTAGGTAAGCGCTTATCCAGTAAATTGTTGCATTCGATATGTTTTGATGTACTAAAATCTTGCACATCAAAATAAATCATAGTGTTTGACTTCTATCGATAAGCGTTTACAGGGTAAGCAATTGGATAAACGGCCCGTTAGATTATTTAATGGCTTACCCATTAAGTAACATTTGGTGCGTCTATTAAGCTTGACTAAATACAACATGAGATCCTTCACATTTTCATTCTCTTCAACTTCTTTATGTTTCCATATTTGATTTTTGTAGCATCATGTTGCACTAGTATTCGACATTGTACGTTATATAATGATATAAATTTATGTAAAAATAAAATGATATTTGTTTTTAATGAATATTTTAAATAAAATATTATCATATATTTCATACATCTACTATTTTTCTTTTATATATATAATGACCTGCAATATATCATTTTTTCTATCAATATAAATAACGAAAACAATATCATAATTGAATATTTTTTATACTCAAATTTCATAATATTACTTCATGTCCTACAATTTTCATTTTATATGTATACATATATAGATATTGATCTTTACATAGAAAGATCCATTCAAAAAGTATGTTATAAACTTTAGTTTTCCCTATTGCTAATTGTCAAGATTATGTTATTTTTGTATTTAATTATAATTTGTGTGTGTATATATATTCTTTTTGCAAAAGGAGGGTCGGTCAAAAATTAGATTCTAGTCAACTAATTTTTTAAAGAAATACACTCTTTTAATATACCACACACACACACATATATATATATATATATATATATATATATATATATATATATATTCTGCATTCAATCATCTTCTCATATTTNATATATATATATATATATATATATATATATATATATATATATTCTGCATTCAATCATCTTCTCATATTTGTAAGATAACAAAAATCATACCACAATTCCAAAAAAAAAAACTTAAATCTCATAATATCATTTCATATGTCGATTTAACAAAAAGAAATTGTAAAAGGAGGTTGGCAAAAAATAACCAAAATCACAATATACTTCAAGATTTTAAAATACTTAAATCTAATAAAAAATTTATTTTTTATTTTGAGCAATTAATATTTTTTTGCTAAAAGAGGGTTGGCCAAAATGAGTCAATACCATGAGCTCGGAGGGTCGGCCAAAATGATGTACGATTCTGACTCAGACTTTGACATGAGCGGGGAAGGTGAAGGACGGGGTGATGCATTGTCTTCGTTATGTTTATTGATTCGATTATTTGGTTCTTGATATTTATTGGTATTCTAACATTGTTGAATATATTTGGTTATTGATCTTGTTTCCTTGTTGTATTGAGCATCAATGGTATGGTATGTTATAGTGGTTTGAATATGGAAGTTCTATGATCTTAGCATCCGATACGTATTTGTTCATTCGGTTTCTTGTAAGTATTGGTTTGCATTCTATTGATATCTTGAACTCTTTTATTAATAAGAGTTTACCATGTATGTTTATACACATGTGCAATATTGATATGTAGTACTTAACTATCTAACTCACTAAGCGTTTGCTTACCCTTTAAGTGTCAAGCCCTCTCAAGAAAGAAGACTGATAAAGGAAAAGAACCCGTTGTTTGACTTGGAGGTTTATCGGGGGACTTTGAAGACTACGAACTTACTTTTTGTATATTGTAGTTTATTACTTTTTCTTATAGATGTAATAATTGTAGCTTGTACATAGTTTTATTCCGGGTTATAAGTAAGTCCCGTTTATTTTGCTACTTAATTCGGGTCGTAAGTAAAAATCTATTATGTCTGGTTTGGAATTGTGTTTTGGTTGGTTTTATCACTAAACTAGAACAAACATTTCGAAGTTTTCTAGAAAATTAATATCTCATATTTTGAGGTTAATCAATTTTTATTTTTATTGGAGATTTTGAAATTGGTAACTTGGGGTTTCTTAACCGAGGTGTTACACAATCAACCGCAAATTCGAGCGATATCATCAACCATGGATCTCTATTGTCCTTGTCACCAAGAAGAGTCATTGCTATACAGTACAATGGACCATCTTTTGGCCATCCAAGTTCATTGAGTTTTTGAAGACAAACCATGTAAGAAGGAGGCTCAACACCATCGGGGTTCCCATGCTTTATGACCAAAGCTTTTAAAACTGACAAAATCTTCTCATTTATGTCAGATTGGCTAATTTTTCTCTTGTTGGTTCTCACTCGAGTACGAGCTAAAGATACGAGAGTTGAGGAGGTGGGTTGGAAATTGGAGATCTTCACTTCCTTATTGTTGGAAACAAAGAAAGGCTCGACAGAAGGCTCGGGGTCATTTGATAGCCATCCAAAGCTTCCGATGCCCATGGAAACACCACCTTCAAACAATTGTGTACACAACTCGATGAATGGAAGATTAGTTGTCCTTAACGATTCAACATATTTATTTGAATGTGTTAAAAACAATAATTATAAGTAACAAATCAAATTTTAAATAGAAGGAAAAAAAGTATAACAAGAAAGCGACTTGAATCTCGAGTTCCCATTGCTCGGATGTCAAATTAAATGAGTTTGTTGGAGGATCATTCACGTTCCCCGTTTTATTTTTAAGTTTCAACCACGCTCCATATTTTTCCTTTAAGTAGTCATAGTGGTTATGCATTTGCTTTCTATCCACATGAAAGTTGTGAATCTCTTTCAGATGATCAGAAACTTTCTTCTAGGACAATGATTTTAGACTTCCACCTTCCTTTCCGTTCAAAACTATCTCAAGAATGCACTTTCTAGAAATGTTTTTACAATAACCATGTTTTTCCAACTTATCTTAGTTTTTGTTGGTAGTTGTGAACCGGTTGTTTGTTCCATACCTAATCGGTTGAAAATCAACAAGTTGAAAACACATAATCGAAAAAGATACATACAAATGAATCAGATAATTAAAGCAGCCAATGGCATGAACACTGACATAAAAAATAATAATGAACATATTAGGTCATTTTCAGTATTAAAATAGAAATTTAAGGTGTTCGTGTTGGTTTAATGGTGTACATGCCCCCTGCATAGTAATGTAGCATGATTATTTGAGAAAGACAATATCAGGTGAATGAAACGGTCAATGTTGTCACAGCAAAGACCACAAAAATTGGACAAAAGACATGAGCCATCATGAAAGGTGTCATGACATTTGCTTCATAGAAAGTTGAAAAGTTGGCCAAAGAAAATCCCATCTGGAAGAGTGATGGCAGGCTAAGAAATGAAGCACAGAAACATGGGGTTTATCAGGAGTTTAAACATGAACAAAAAGGATGGAATTCAAATGGAACTCCCAACTGTGTCCCTTCATCTGGTGGGAATGGTGGTTATGTCAGCTCATCAGACAAAATTTTTAACTCTGTAGAGTCTGGCTCTTGGGATGATTGGGATAACGATGGCAATAGGAAAAATACATCTACCACAGGGACTGCACCTGCCAACGGGGATAACTGGGTAGGTTGGGATGATGCTAAAGAATCATGTGTGTGCATTTACTAGAAATGTTGATGTTGCAATATGTCATTGTTGCCTTTATGAAAATGAGGTGAGGAAATCGAACAGAAAGGTTGAAGCACAATGACGAACAAGCAGAATCATGAACAGCAAAATCATGAAATCGAACAACCAAATCAACAATCGAACAGCCAAATCAGAAATCGAATAGAAATGCTAAAGCACAGTGAGTAATCTAACATAAATCGAACAAAAGTCGAACAGAAAGGCCAAATCAGAAATCGAACAGGTACATGAAGAATCAAAGCACAGTGAAGAACAATCGATGAGGAGAACCACATACTTATGTGGAGAACGATGATTCAACGAGCGACGTGTGAGATGGATTCAACATTGGATACAAGAGCGTCTCTATTAGGGTTATTTTTCAATTAATGGGAGTAGTTGGGGAGAGGGGTAGGTGGGGAAAAGTAATGGTTGAGTGGATAGGAGTGTGATATCATGGTTGTGCGAATCAGATCCTATATGCCCGATTAAGCCCTTAATGAACACATAGATATGGTTGTGTGAAGCAACCATATTTGTTATACGACTCAATAAGCCGTTACCGAACAACCTCTAAGTCTAAGTCTTAAAAACTTATCTTCAGATATGAATTGTGCTTACAAAACTAAGTCTAAGTCCTTAAGACTTATCTTCAAAGTTTGAAGACCTTGAGTTCAGATATCGGATACAGATCTCGGACACAGAGCTCGAATATAAAGCTCGAACACAGAGTTCATACACAAAGCTCAAATACAGAGCCTCTGTTCGTTTAACCAGAGTCTCTGGTTCGTTTATCTAGAGCATCTGGGTCAATAAAATGTTACAAGACTAAGTATAAGTCTTATAAACTTATTGTAACGCCTGAAATTTTCCCATAATCTCTACTCCGTTCACGTCAAGTTTTCCGTCGCGTTGGTGAGGTAGGTGTTTCATTTGTGGTTATATGTATTATTTTTGGGACTTGGATCATTCATTTTGTTATCAGTTTTTAGTATATATATATATTTATATGATCATATGTCAAAATTTCTTGGGAAGATGATTTTAGTTATATTGGGGTAAGAAAGTCAAAAAGGGAGGGGGAGGGTAGCTTGTGCCTTCTTATCCTACCCATAGACCTCCTTTTACMTTGAAAAAGTAAAAAGGGATTCCCTYTTYTWTTTGGGGGTTTTTWCMTGCTGTTCTTAGTTTYTTGGGGGGAAGGAAAAAGAGGGAAGAGAAGTAAGAAGAGAAGGGGTCTGGAACTACGTGGGCTGGAAGGAAAAGAAAGAAAATGGAAAAGGGAAGGGAGGATAGCTAACGGTTGGAAGGAAGAAAGAACTGCAGCCTAAGCTGCTGGCTTGAAAAAGGGAGCGTGGCTGCCATCTAGAGGAGGAACCGGAGGAGTTCACCAAGCTGTTGACCCATCTAGAAGAGGAAACAGCAGCAACAGCCTAGAAGCCGAGGCACTTAGTCCCTTACTCTGTCGTGGCCGCTGTTTGGCCAGTAATCGGTGACCGCGAGCAGCAGCCGTGTCCGTCTGCGCKCTCCGTCTASCCACGTCTRCGCGCTGTTTTCTGTCGTGTCTGTGCCCTGCACCCTTCCTCCTCGCGCACTTCAGTTGCTGTCTTTCCTCTTTGCGCACAGCATGTGCGGTTTCTTCACCCCGCACAACAGCAACAAATATGCTGAGTTGTTCGTTTGAGCGACAAGTAGAATACAGCAAGCAGCTGTCCTTGCGACTGTTCGGGACTTCRGGTGACGGAAACAGGCAGCAAGTCTGCTGCGCTGCGCATCAGATCACMGCAAACAGCACCTGTTCGGTGCTGTTTTCTTCGGGTTCCTACCATCTATCGTTTARTTCCGGGTTTCGGGATTTCCTTTAAATCCTGCAAGGTGAGTCCACGTTTACCGTTAAAATCATTATACTTATATTAATATTGTGTTTTATGCCTCAAATCTTAATGCCTAGATAAAAATAACTATTTTAGATGGATCATATTTTGGTCGAAGGAGATGAACTCRGATGAGCCCATTAATGAGGAAAATTGGATTGGGTAGATGGTTTTGATCACTTTAGGTAGAATAACCATTTCTCTAAGCATTATTAGACGTTGAATTATAAAAACCTTTCACTAAGTGGCATGGAGGATCATTTCTTTGATTTTCTTCATTAATAGCTATTTTGGTGAAATTCTTGAGTATTGATCTTGTAAACAATAATATAAACATGGTTAGATGGTATTTTGATTGTTGGAATAAAGATTGAATCCAAAATATGGATTTTAGCCTATTTAATTGGTGAATTTGACAGCAACAAAACTACCCGAGATGCTGTTTTGAATGTGCGATAACTTCTTGACCGTAGCTCGGATTGCTACGATTCTGGATATTTTAGAAAGCTTATATGTAGATCTAAACCTGTCCTTTAGACACTTTTTAGAAATAAAACTTCTAGGTTGGTTATATTTGCGTCTCAAAACTGATAAAAAGTTAATTTGAGCTGTGAATTATAGTGCCTAAAATGAGTTTAAATTAAGTTTGGTTAAGTTTTTGTCGTCGGATCTTTATGAAACTTTGAGTACATATTACAGGTGTTAAATAAGCTCACTTGGTCCTTCCAGAGTGACCGTTGGACGATGTTTAGACTATATGGACGTAGAGCCTAAGTTGGCTTGATTTTTGAGTATCGAAAAGCACTGTGAGTTTATGGGGCTACTTAACTTGCTATTTGCTAGACATGTGTTATCTATTTGCTTTGCTTCCACACTCATCCATGTCACGCTTATGGTACATTTCCAAGTGTGCCACTCGAATGTAATAGACCTAGTGGCATGGATGATCATTCCTTTGTTTTCTTACGTGAAGGATGGTGTGAAGTGGAGTTAGGCATTGTGATTATTGTGTAAATTCCAAACCACCTTCACGCTTCCATTCGAAAATAGGCATTGTGATTAGTATGTAATTTTCGAGGTAAAGAGCTTAAGATCGCGACCGACTTCATGACTAGCTAGGTTGATGTCAATGGTATTAAACTTACAAACGATGCTCTCTAACGTCGAATTATGACTTATTTCGTGTTCCGTCATAATTAACGGTAAATCGGGTCCCCCCTGTCATTTTCGGATGTCTTGACTCTCTCCCTCGTATTATTTATGACTCATTTTCTATATATATAAATATCGTACGATACTACGTCACTATTTATATTTATATAGTGCATGTATATCGTTTTATTTTATCCGTGGGAATGATGGTGTAAGTTGGTGATAGGCATTGTGATTATTATGTAATCMCYAAATCATCCTCTCACTTTCACTCGGTAATAGACATTGTGATTATTGTGTAATTACCGAGGTAAAGAGCTTAAGATCACGGCCGACTACATGACTGGTTTAGGTTGATGTCGATGGTATTAAACCTGTGAGTGATGCTCTATAACGTTGATCTATGACTTACTTTGTGTCTGTCATAATCAACGGTAAATCAGGTCTCCCCCGTCATCTTCGGATGTTTTATTGTTCCACTTCGAGTTATTCAGGTCTTACTGTCTCTATTCCTGTTTAAAGTTACGTCAACTATTTGCATGTATATTTTTATGTATGTTCCTTTATGTTTACGTAAACTCTTTTGTTTGGACTCACTAGGCGTAAGCCTAACCCTCTCTCTTTCTTGTTATAATTACTTTTTAGGTTCCTTTAACGGTGGGGCTCTAAATGGTTGAGAGGAGCGTTGGTTCGTGAAAGGCTCTTTTGTAATTATAGCCTTGTTACTTTTGAACGTTGCGTTTTTTATGTTACGGCATTTTGGAGATTGATAGAAATACCGTCTTTAATCTAGAAAAATGTAGATTAGTAGGTCGTTATTTATCTTCTCAGTAACGAAATTGTAAACGCTATACTACTACTTTGTTGGGTGATTTTTTTTTATTTAAGATTCTGGTTCTCGTTAGATATTTTCGGTTTAGACTATCTTTTTTTAGGGTGTTACAGGTTGGTATCAAAACAATAGTTTAAGCGAACTAGGTAAGGAATTAAGACGCCTAGACTTAAACTGAGACTGTAAGTGTTAATAGTGGGATGTGGGTAGAAACCTTAACATAGGAGAGCCTTAGAGTCAACGGAGATTCATGATTCATGAACTGCGACGACGGATCGAGGATCCTTATGTATAACTTATTCGAAATTTTACTTAGCTAATGTTATTTTGAGTATGTTGTTTCATAAGCGTGCTCGAACTTACTGTTATTGCAAAGACTTATGAATGCGTTGATCATAGAGATAGCAAATGGTAGTCAGGTTCTGGTATGTGAGATTGTTAAGAGTTGCGTATTGGGAGTTGAAGGGAAGGTAATTATCTTCCAAAGCTTCACCCACTAAAACCCTGAATGTAGGTCCCTGCCTAAGATCACTGAATTCAGAGTCTAAGTACCATACAAGCACATGTTGGTTCTCCAAAGCAAGTTAAGGAGTTTATGTGCTTATTTCACAATGGGTCTTTCTTAGTTAGCTTTGGATGGTGTTTTGTTCTTGCCTTCTGTCTTTGTAGACTTGGCTTTTTCTTTAGGTAGTAGCTTTTAAGTCCTGGTATTTTGCATGTTGAAACAGTACTCAAAGATAGCACACTCGTTTCTAGAGAAGTGCTTTTTTAGTTGAATTAAGAGATTTAGGCAATGTCAGTTATGAACACACACAGATGGTTTCTTAAAAACTCTTTTTGAATTAACACAACTAAAAGCTTTAACTTTATGTTTTGCTTCTGAAGTAGCATTAAATGCATTTACAAACATCTTAATTATTTCAAAGCTTTTATTCTATTGTAAACTAGCTTTCTTCTCATGCTTTAAGCCTTGACTCTCCAATTTTCTTCTTTCATTATCTTTTTGTTGTTCCAGAGGAAGAAGGATCAGGTTTATCTATAGTAACACTTTTACCTTTTTGTTCTAGAGTGAATTTGATTGGCTTGAAGGGATAAGATTTCAGCTTAATTTGATCTCTAGGTTGTCTCAACTTTTCTTTTCTTTTATTTGCAAGTTCCTGAGACGTTTTGCTTGTGAGTCACATTTCTATAGAGCAGGGAGAAATTTTGGGAATATGACCTTTAATCATGATAGATTTCATTGTTCTAGAATGGCTTTTTTTTAGAATGGCTTCTTGACAAATTTCCTCAAAAGTTCTTTGGTGATTAAGGCCAGAGGGCTGTGTGCAGTAAGTGTTTTGAGATTTGTATGTATCTTTTGAGTCGATTAGTTGGTCGGATAATGGATAAAGTTAATTATTTATTTTCTAAGAATGATGCTTATATGAATCAGTAAACTTTTTTTTAACGATTTAAGCGCCGTAATTTGAGTAAAGTATTTATTGTGACGTTTTAATTTAAAGAGATGAAATTATAAGATATTAAAATGTTTTTGGATGTCATCGAGGTTTTTAGATGTGGGGCTTGACTAAAGTTTGTCGGGGTTGATCGAGTTGACCAAGGGCTGACTTTTGGCACGTTTGATCCATGTGGATTTTAATGATGGGTCAAATAGAGTTGTTTGAGGCATATTAAGATGCTCGGATACGAAGTTTGACTTTAGTTGATTTTGTTGACTTTTGAGAAATTAAGACGTTAATGAGATGTTATGGTATGAAATGTGTAGGCATTTGGTCAAGAGTTATCGGTAGTCAATCTATACGCAATCAGGGACAGAAGGTTTCAGGTTGGACAAAGAAAAAGAAGGGCATACATAGAGACTTGTCTAGTCCATTTATATGGTATATAAATTTGTAAAGCAACCTGGTATGGGACGGGCTGACATTAAGTTATATATTTATTCTTTTAAAGTCTTCCGCTGTAAATGGTCTAAAGTTTTAATTTAGCCATTATTGTTGGAGTGCTTTTGGAGAATTTGTTTTAGATTACGTAACATTTCTTGTATTGGGACTCTCACCTACCTCTTGTAGAATTCGCCTACAACAATAGTACCACTCTAGTATAGGGATGACACCTTTCGAGGCCTTGTACGGGCGAAAATGTTGGACTCTGGTTTGTTGGTTAGAAGAAGGTGAGAAACAATTCTCCGGCCCTGAAATCGTGCAAGAAACGACCGACAAGGTGAAGTGTATTCAGGAGTGCTTAAAGGCGGCTCGGGATCGACAAAAGAGTTACGCAGACAAGAGGAGTCGACCTATGGAATTTCAAGTGGGCGACCGTGTAATGTTAAAGGTATCTCCATGGAAGGGTATTATCCGTTTTGGAAAGCGTGGGAAGCTAAGCCCTCGTTTCCTTGGACCGTTTAAAGTCTTGACTAGGGTGAGACTCCAGGCTTACAAACTAGAACTACCACCAGAGATGGCCGGAATACATAACACATTCCACGTGTGCTACCTTCGTAAGTGCTTAGTGGAAGAAGAAAGTGTGATACCACTTTTGGAAATTCGTGTTGATGAGAACAACCGAAGCGTGGAAGAACCGGAAGCCATCTTGGAAAGCAAGATCAAGGTGTTGAGGCACAAGGAAGTTGTCATGGTCAAGGTAAAATGGAAGCATCATCGAGGATCAAACGTGACTTGGGAAGCGGAAGAGGACTTGAAGAGGCGTTACCCGCACTTATTCG